TAAGTGGGAATTATTAAAATGTCAACTATTTGTCAAACCATTATATTAACAGTAAATGCACTTAGTTTTAAGACTGCAGACTACTACTGCATATTAAAATACATAGGAAAACATTTTAATACAAAATTATATATTCTAAATTTTAAACTTACCTCTTTTGGGGCTTTAATAATAAAAACGTCCCACCATTATTTCTTGTTCAAAATAATCTATCTTATATGAAAGCTTATTAGCTTTCTACAGATTATTTATTTGTTTTAGCATATCACAATCACAATACACAACAATAATTAGTTTTTAAAGTTATTAATCTAAATTTAATATGTATTTATAAATACAATTTATTAATATATAATTATGATCAAATTGTGTAAGAAATCAAAACATAAACAAAATTTCTACTCCAAAAAAGCGGCAACACTTAATACACTTTTGCCACGCGCTGAACTGTCAATAGAATTTGAAGTATTTCCGTATCAGTTGCATACAATGGACCACAGGAGTGATGACGTAGATTTTACTGACATACGTCAGTTTCACTTTCCAAATAAACCTGGTTTAGTGTGGATAATTTGTATTTTTCGTTATTTTTTCATTTATTTTATAGAATCTTTCCGCTTATTGTAATATTTAAGTATTCTGATAGTTACTACAACAATTTTACAAGGTTGTGTAAATAATAAAGCACATTGTTTTATGCTAATAGCAATAAAATGCGTGTATCAATAAAGTAAGGTTACAATTTCTTTATTTAAACTTTTAAACTATAATTCATAGAAATAGAGTTCTGAATTATGATGGTATTATCGTAAAAAACACTATGCTTACAAGAAAAAGCAGCAGAGGAAGCAAAATGTTAACTTTATAGAAATTAAAAAGTCTTGAGATTTGACATTTTAACTTTTGTTTGGAAAGTAATAATGTCAATGTGACAGTCGTGACGTCACACTCCTGCGGTCCATTGTCTAATATATTTAATTACAATTATTATTTTGTGGAATATAAAAAGTTATTTCGTAAAATGTATATTATTAATAACAAAGGTTTTTGGTTATTGAATCAATATAATTCTAAAATTTACAATATAATGATGATTACATTTTTCTTACTATTACACCATGTTGACGCCTATGAAAGATCGAGCAGTTCCGTATGGGTTTCGTATTATTAGCTGTGTTAGGAAAATTTGAACTCTATGTTCTGGAAATTTTAAATACAAGTGACGTCACTTTGTATAAATCGTGACGTGCAAGTGTTTTACTTTGAAAAATGGTATACTTGTTTATTAGTAATATTATGGTATTTGGTAAAACAATTTTTCTATCATTAATACCGACCAGTTTGAACATTTTGAATATGGTCGTGACTCTATTGCAACAGACGAACATTGTTCGCATCTACCTCTTTTTGGGCTAAAAATTGGCCAGTGCACTCCACGGTTGCCCAGTCTAATGTCGTTAGAAACACTAATTTCCTATGTTTTGCACACACCAAAGAATTTTGTAGACTGTTTCGAAGTGTCACTGAAGACGCCAATCCTCGCTTATTTTGTGTGAGAGGATTATTGGTTTGATTCATGAGTCCTAGGGCAACTCCTCTTCTAAAATCAAGTAACGTAAGATGCTCTTCGGGATGAAGTTTTTTTATAGACGATGTAACTATTGACGAATGCAATATCTACAATTTCAAAAAATATGCGGTGCCACCATTTTTTGGATCGCCTATTGATGCAATATGCTTGGCGAAGTTTGTCCGATAGATCTACACCACCCATATGTTTATTATAATTATCGACAATCTTGGTACAATTTATATCGATCATGGTACCATCTTTCTGTTGACGTTTGTAGTCAATTCTGTGCCATAGAAGTTGGATAAAAAAGGTACTATCCAACCTCAAATAATTACTACCAAAGGTAACCTCAAATAATTTTCTTTCATATTATTTGATGGTAATCCTAGTCGATCACGCTAAACTGTTCCACATGCCAACGTGTTTTCAGTTTTTCTAATAACAAGAGTGACGTGAAGTAATTGTCGAAATATATTATACGACTAGTGCCCCAATGATTTTCGGTCAAAGTCAAAACAACTCTTTCGCCCAATCCGAAATCCTGAAACTTTTTTTCGACCACTTCATTTTTTCCTTGGTATACATCAAATTTTTTAATATACCCGTTTGGTTCTCTCAGGCATCATAGTTTGTACCCTCTTTTGATTGATATTTTAGTGTTGTATTGCTTCAATGTGGAGTGGCCTTTGAAGATTATCATGGATTCGTCAACTGTAAGAGGCATCATATTCGTTCCATTATTTAAAATATCAAAGCGTTAGTTCAAAGCTGCCACAAAAGTTCTTATCTTATAGATTTTGTCTTTGTTGTTGAGGGGTATTGTGGAATTGCCATTTATATGCAGGTATTGCAAAAACTGCTCAAAACGACCCCTAGGCATTACTCTTTTTATAATTGCTACTTCGAGATCTTCAGCACATAACCAGTAATGTGTATAACTTGGTAGTGTATGGTAGCCCATAAAAAAGTTAAGTCCTAGGAAAACCAAGAGTTCACATTCTTTAAAATTCAGTCTTTCCACGTTGAGTAGGATACAAGTTTGACAGTATTTGGCCCCAGCACTGTTAGAAAGTAATCAGTGTAAGTTGAGAAGTGTTCTTTAATCACATTCTCATCCAAGCTGTATGACGGAATGTTGGTAGTAAGCTCTCTCTTTTTCCATTTTATTTTCTGTTCCTCTTCTGCTTTTCCTCCTCGTTTGTTGTTCTTTGGCTATAAAACTTTAAGAGATGCAACAGGAGCGTTATTTTCTATTCCAGTATTTGCCTGCTGTTCAGAATCTGCATTTTCATTGTCTAAATTTACTTCTTGAAAAACCGTTGTCATGTTGTTTGTTTCGAAATATTCATCTTCTTCATCAATTTGCTCTTCGTCTGTATTCGTTGTCCAGTGGCAGATTTGCTAGTTCAAAGGTTGCTTCTTCAGATGCAGTCAAAAGTTCATCATCATTGAGTAGTGGCTTTTTATGTAGCCAATTATACATTTTCTATAAAAAAATAAAAAAATGTTACCTACCTTTATTTCAAATAATTTATTTTTATTTAGTTTGTAGTACTCATAGGAACGTCCTTGCGTCAAATTTTTATGATTCTTTTTCCCTATTTTAGGTAGATACACCCTGTTTTCAATAAATAATACTATACAATATACTATACAATAACATACCTGTCAAATCCCTGACGGGATTAAAAGTCCAATAGATAAATTGCTTTGGTAAAGTCTCCTTGTACAATCTAATTCAATAACTGATATTTGTTTGTGTTTGAAACAACATTGAGCTCAAATTCACAATAAATTATACTCCACCCTCTTATAACTTAGAAAACAACACTAACAAAACACAACACAGCTAACGCAGTCGTTGTTGCTGTCATACTAACGAAAACATTTAAGTAAATGTCATCATCGTGTTATAGCGCGTATTCTTGGTTGCGTAAGTCGAAGAATAATGTGTACTCGAGAGTCCCGTCACGAATTCATTGATAAATACGAAATATTCTCAGCCACTTATTTTAAATTATGTGTGACCTTAGAGTCCCGTCGGGGAACAAAGGGTTAAGTGTTATTTTTCAATGCCTAGTTCCTAGTTTTTACAGAATAATGGCCAATTTAAAAGATAAAAAGTAACCCCTAACCCAGCAGGAGTTAGAGGAGATTGCTGAACACTTTTTTTACAGTGATGGTGATATTTCTGACGCTAAAACAATTATTACTGATCATAATACTGATAGTTATTTAAACCTAATGATAATGAAACATATTATTTAACAGTAGCGATCTTATAATGGTACGAGGTAACATAGAAATAAGCGTAAAGAAGGAGGGGTATAAGATGATTAAAAAGAAGAGCAAATCAAAACCATGGATGAAACCATCAGATGTAGATAGTTTTCAGAAATGTATTTCCGAGATAAGTAGTAGTTCTGAAACAGAAAATAATATAAACGACTTAAATAATAAATTAACAAATGACTTACTGGAAAGTAAAAACAAATTCTGTCCTATTAAAAAGAAGAGAAGATTAGCCAACTAATGCAGAAAAGAAGGCACGTCTGATAGACAAGACACTCGAAAATAAAACCAAGAACAAATCGAACATACCATTGAGAACAATAGAAGTATGAAAGTATTAAGAAAAAGACTAAGGACGGAGACAAGGCAGATAATAAAGATTAAGGATAAAAAAGTCATCTTGCAACCAACAGAGAGCAAACCCTTAAAATAGTTGAAGACTTCTACAAATTGCTGTATACATGTCAACACAAAGCAAATAGCAGAGAAGATTCAGTACCAGAAATATTAACAAGGAAAAGGGACATTGTTAACCAAGGATCAGAATTACTACCGGAAATCACAATAGACGAAATAACACTAGTCCAAAGAAAAGCTAAGAATAACAAATCTCCAGGCGAAGATTGTGTAGTTGCTGATGCAATCGAAATCGGAGGCACTTGCTTACTTAAGAACATAAAAATCCTTTATAACAGTAATATATCCGACAAATTGCACAATACTGAGGTAATTCTATTGTACAAAAAAGGAGATCCCCATGAATTAGAAAACTACACACCTATAAGTCTTTTTGCTCACCTATACAAAGTCCTTACAAGAATGGTAACGAATATTCTTGACAGAGATCATTTGGATTGTAAGAAACACCAAAACGAAGTAAGAGTAGTTTATTTACAAAACTATCACATAAATAAATATATGAAAAACAATTCAAATCTCTTTAAAATATCCGATCGAATAAAATCATATATATGGTCAATAATTGTAATCTGCATAATAAAAAAATACTTGAAAAAAGCGTAATATATTTACACTTTGTTCATTTGGTCCTATAGAAACGAACCTAATAAAGTTAAAAACCATTTGTAAATCACTTAAATATACAAAATAACAAAGTTAATCACAATTACAGTCTTTAATTTTTATCACAATACACGCCGTCATTACTGCGCCATTTTTGATTTGCTTCTCTTCGAGCGTCGGGTACTAACTGACTACGCATGCCTCCTAGTACATTGCTAGTGGCTTCAGACGCTATTATAATTGGCTTCAGTATAGTTGGAGGGATTTGACGTAGAACACCACCTACTGCACCGCTGTACCCCTTCTGTTCTTTTTCTTGGGCGGCTACTTGGACGATGTTATCAGCTGTCTCACCAATGCCCTGTAAAAAATGTTCGTATTAATTAACCAAAATACTTTACAACGCAGATTTTTGTTCAGATAACGCTTATCGCTTGTTATGAGAGAATCCAGACTTGAATACAAACAGTTATACTTCAGAGCTACTGAAAATATATTGAAATAAAACTATTTTTAAAGAGAACAAAATACCTCTTTCACTAATAAAATAGCATTCGTCATTCCTTCCCTAATATCTTGTGGTTGATGGTACCTCCTCCTTTTCCCCTTGGACTTTGCAAGTATCCTAACACTGGGACCGGGAGACAACATATCGTAGGCAGTTTCAGCAGTTATCTAAAAATTCAATATTTACTGTAATATAATTACTACTTTATCTGAACAAAAACAGACCTGTATTAGATGAATTATTCTAGATGTTAATTCGAGGGCAGCCATTGCTGTCGACGTCGTAAAACTGTTGGCGCCTCGTTGAAGTCCTCTGACGATCCTCCCGTCTTTTTGGTACTGTTCGATTGGTAACCAGAACAGATCTCGAACTCCTTGGACTAAAAATATAAACATTCAAACAATATTAACATATTACTATTCACCAAACTAAAATAGAACAGCGAAAGCTACGTGCGCAGTAACAAAACTTTCTTTGTTGCTTGTCAAAACTTCAAGATCTAAGTCACGACAAAGAAATAATTTATGATATTTTAGAGTTCATAAAAAAAGAAGTACAAGCTGGAAAATTTTTGATATATTTAAATAGAAACATTAAATTAAAATCTGAATCTGTATTGTACTAAAAATCATTTTTTGCTTTATCTTGATATTTCGATTTTCAACTAATATATAGGTTTCAAAAAAATTACCGGAAATAAAAATTATGAAAGATTGATAATACTCCTCCTCCTCCTAAGTGCCTTCTCTATAGAGGTTGGCGATCAATATGGCAAATTTCTCTCTGTTCTGGGCTTGATGAATTAAGTCATTTCCTGTTGTGTGAGTCCAATCTCTGATGTTTCGGAGCCAGGATTTCTTCTTTCTTCCTATACCGCTTTTACCCTCGATTTTGCCTTCTAATATTACCTGGAGCTGCTCAAATTCCATAGTATGTTCATCAATATTTTTAGTTGGTCTTATGTTTCTACTAATACTACGGTGTCATCGGCATATCTTACATTGTTAATGATGATTCCATTGACTCTGGCACCTTCAGGGCGATCTTCAAGAGAAGCTCTGATGATATTTTCGGCATAGACATTAAATAGAAGAGGGGACAGAATGCACCCTTGACGCACTCCTCGTTCTATGTTTACATAATTGGTATTTCCGTTGTCTGCTCGAACACATTCTGTGTGGTTCCAGTATGTATTGCTTATTATAGCTATGTCGTGTCCGTCCAGCCCTACTTCTTTTAGCACCTCAATCAATTTTTCGTGTCTAATGCGGTCGAAGGCCTTTCTATAATCGACAAAGCACACATACAGCTGTTTTTGAACCTCAAGATACCTTTCTGCCACTAGTGCCAATCCCATTATTGCTTCTCTGGTGCCTGTACCTTTCCTAAAACCATATTGAGAACGACTCAGGTATTCTTCACACTTATTGTGAATGCGGTTATAAATTACTCGCATAAAAATCTTAGCAGCATGACTCATTAGGGATACAGTTCGATGGTCTTCACATTTCCTTGATGGTCTTCCCTGTTAAGCTCTTTGTATCTTGTTAGGTTTTTGTTTTTTACCATCCGTCTCCTCTCCATAATTTGTAATATTTCGTTTGTCATCCATGGTTTTCTTTGTTTACGGTTTTCTTTCTGTATATTTTGGTTTGCTGCCTCCAAGACAGTATTGTTAATTTTTCCCCACATGTCTTCAATGTTTTCTTTTATTGTCTTCTCTTTAGTGGGAGCTAATGTCTTAGACTCTAACTGCGTGTCTACCATGTCTTTATACATATGTTTTTGTCCCTGGTCAGCACTACTCCATGCTACTCTCTGACTGGGTTTAGCTTTGCCTACTCTTTTAAGTTTTATTCTGACAGTTACAACTACAGGTTTGTGGTCTGAATTTATGTCACAGCTTGGGTACGTATTTACATTTAGAATACCATTACGGAACCTTTTATTAATTGTAATGTATTCGATTTGGTTCCTCACAATATTTCCTTCGCAATCTTGAGGACACCTCCACGTATACAGACGTTTTTTTGGTAATTTAAACCATGTGTTAAGAACCACCAAGTTGTTTTTTTGGCAACATTCAACAAAGCGTGTGCCTCGTTCATTTCTCGTTCCTAAACCGTATGGGCCGATGATCGATTCGACCTTTTCTGCTCCTACCTTCGCATTCCAATCTCCCATAAATATGTTGATGTCATCTGATTTTATGTGTTTTTTAATCTTTTCAATATCGGAGTAGAAAATCTCAAAATCTGCATCTGTGCTGTCTGCTGTCGGGTCGTATACCTGTATTATATTAATGTCGAATGGTTGTCCATTTAATTTGATGATCATTACTCTGTCGTTGACTGGTAGAAAACCCTTCGTGTGTTGTTTCATGGATGCTGTTACCAGCACTCCTATACCTGATTGGATGATAATACTCGAATCATATTAAACAACTAATTAAAGTGACAAATAACGAAAAAGAAACTCCAATTAAGCAATAATACTACTATATAATATATTAAGGATATAATGAAACTGATCAAGAAGAACCAGACTCTTATAATCATGGATAACTTCAACATTGGAGAAAATACACACAGCAACTATACTCAGACAACACTAATAGAAACTCTGAAAGTGAATATAAAAGTGAACCCTTCCTCAAAATATTTAAGTCAGAAGTTGTAAGCGCAATTAAACAGAGCAAATGGGAAAAACACCAGACCCAGACGACATATACATAGAGGTTCTAACAATGTTGAGTGAAGAGAATTTAGACACCTTGGTAGATCTTTTTAATGACATTTATGAGTCCGGTCAAATACTACAAAACTGGCTTCAGTCAACCTTTATACCAATCCGAAAAAGGCCAAACGCTAATCTATACGTAGAGCTAATACATTTACTCCATACTGCTTATGGTGTAAAAATCTGGACCATAAAGGCCAATGTGATGAACCGGTTGGGGGACTTTGAAATGTGGGTATTTGGAAGACGACTTAAAATTCCCTGGACAGATCACACAACAAATGTCGACGTATTAAATCGAATGGGTAGAAATCGAGAATTGCTGCCAATAATAAAAAGAAGAAAAACTGCTTATCTGAGTCATATATTATGTCGAAATTCCAAGTACCAGTTCTTAAAGCCTTTATGGAAGGGAAGATAGAGGGAAAACGGGTCATCGGAAGAAAGAAATACTCATGGCTTAAAAACATAAGGGATTGGACAAACCTCGATGTCCATGCACTCTTTAGAACCACACAAGATCGAGAGGAGTATGCCAGAATTGTGGCCAACATCCACTAATTGGATAGGGCACCATAAGAAGTAGAAACAATACTACACATTTGTTCAAATGTGCGCTGTTCAAAGAGAAAATTAATATATAATATATATATTGATTGATTTTAAACATAAATATTTGTTTTTGCTTTTCACTGTCAAAATAACAATATTGTTTACTTACACAACTGAACAAGAGTATACATCGGTCCAACACCTCCAAGTAAACTGGGCAGTTGATTCTTTTTAATATCACTCAACCATTCTTGTACCAAATGCATCATGAGTTTGTCGAATCCTAAAAGGCCATGTCGGTAAGTCACTCGTTTCAACCTCAATTCCGAACAATTTAATTGACCAAGGCCCATCAGTAATCCGGGGAGTGAGCCGTGGGTCATGTCTACGCGTTTTCCGTGGTAATCTAAGCGGATAGGAACTTCCGGACTGAATATCAGATTCCTAAAATTTAATAATATATTATAAATCAATCAGTCAAAACGTGGCACGCGGCACAAGTTATATATTCCTTTAAAAAGGCAACTGTGATAATTGTGAAAACTATAGAGGTATCAGCCAATAAACTATACTGCAAAATGATCAATAATATTATTAACATTAACCCATTAGTACCTAGAGTAACATATATGTAACGCAGGGCAATATTTAATTTATCCATTGTAAACTTTTTTGTAGAACCACTAACGGACAGATGGCGGCACTTTTCACACGACTGATATTACTATTCACGCCCACACAAGATTTGTTTAGTTTAGTTAACGTAGGTAATGCTACCAAGGTGTCAAATTTATGGTATTTTTTCTACAAAATGGAAACTGTTATTTAATTTGAGTGAGTACATTAAAACTATATCTAGAATAATTACTATACTAATTTTTTAGATTTGGTTAATAATTTAGTCATATATTCATATATTTTCGAAACAATCTTATATTTTTAAATATTTGGTGATTATACTGATCAAAATTTGAGTGTTATATATATATATATATATATATATATATATATATATATATATATATATGTAACATATGCTTTTATGTGCACGTAATTGCCATCCGTTAGTTTATTTTAATTATTGATTTATATATATATATATATATATATATATATATATATATATATATATATATATATATATATATATATGTAACATATGCTTTTATGTGCACGTAATTGCCATCCGTTAGTTTATTTTAATTATTGATTTATTTATAAATAAACTCTGTAGTATTTATGTTTTAACTCTTTTAATCAATCTAAAGTTTAATTTCTGTATAGGCGGGGATTTACTTTACAAGAGGCCCTTAACATGACATTTGTTGATGACAGAAGAAATTTTCATAGAACCTTCAGAGGCAGCCGAACTGACTTACGAGGATTCTGGGGATGAACACGGTGGTACTATCGTTTGGAAAACTTGACTGGGTTTTAACTTCGTTCAAATGTAGAGGTTGGGCTAGTGAATACAGAAATACTAACATCAGATGTACACGAAGTGTACCAAGAAACATTTTAAATACGATTGCCTCAAAAAATTTATTTGGGAGAATTTTCTTCTTCTTCTTAAGCTGCCGTGCATTTCTGCGTAGGCGTCCACCGTACATCGTCTTGCCAGGTGAGATGTTAAATAGTCAGGATTAAATAATTATGTTTTTAGCAGTATTGCGAAGCATTTCATAGCTGTGAATTCCTGTCCATGGTCGAATATTGCGCAGCCATGACATCTTTTTACGTCCCAGACCTCTCCTACCCCCTATCTTCCCTTCGAGTATCAGTTGCTGAAAAGTGTATCTTTCTCCTCGTAATTTGTACCCCAAGTATGCAGTCTTCTTACTTTTTATACAACTAAAAAGTTCCCTATCCTGTAAGCCCACTCTTCTGAGTACTTCCTCATTTCTGACCCTGTCCGTCCATGATATTCTGAGCATTCAACGCAGGCACCACATTTCAAACACTTCAAGTTTGTTAATGTAACTGGCCTTTAACGTCCATGCTGCCATTCCGTACAGGAGAACAGGCCACATGTAACACTTAGCATCTTGTATCGGAGGTTGAAGTTCAATTTGCGATCAGTCATAAACTTAAGAAGCCTCAAAAAAGCATTTCTGGCTTTTTCAACTCTGCTCCTTATTTCATTCTTGGGGTCCCAACCCTCGTTCAGCAAACAATCCAAGTATTTAAATTGCCTGACCTGTTCGATTTCTTCTCCAGAAACATGCGTTGGGGTAATCATTTCTACTTATAATCATTGTTTTTGTCTTCTTGATATTTATTTTCAAAACCCCGAGCTTCACTTGCAAGAGTTAGATGATTTAAAAGGTATTCAAGATATTCGATGTTATCTGCCACTATGGCTGTATCATCGGCATGCCTGATGTTATTAATAAATATGCCGTTAACTTTAATACCCTTATTAGAGTCTGCCACTGCTTCTGTCAAGGCTTTTTCTACGTATAAATTAAAAAGCATTGGAGACAGTATACAACCTTGCCTCACTGCTTTTTTAATGGAGAAATCTTCTGTTTCGTTGAAATTTTGAAGACGTACTGTTGCTGTCTGGTTCCAATACAGATTGGCGATAATTCTTATATCCTTGACATCCAAATCCAACTCTTGTAGGTATTTTATCATCAATTTGTGTTTTACTTATCGGATGCTTTCTCATAATCGATGAAACAGACAAAAAGATCCTTTCTTTGATCTAAACAATTCTGTATTAATGTTTGCATACTAAAGATTGCTTCTCTCGTGTCCATTTTTGAAACCAAACTGACTCCATCCACTGACCTCTTCACATTTCTTAAACAATCTAGTGTGAAGTATTCTCAAGAAGAGTTTTAAAAAGTGACTCATTAGGCTTATTAGTCGGTGGTCCTTGCAGAAGTTCGCACGTGGTGTTTTTGGTAGGGCGATAAATTTAGATAGAAGCCAATCTTTTGGAATCTGACCCGTATCGTAGATGTCGTTAAAAAGCTTGACAATAATATCTAGGTTTTCTTCATTAAGTAACTTGATTGTTTCTGCGTACATATCACCTGGTCCTGGGGTTTGGTTACTTTTTAATAGTTTGATAGCGTGTACAATTTCAGCTTTCAAAATGATTGGGCCATACAAATGGTCTCCCAGTTGTGGTGGTTTTTGTGTTCTGTCATCATTGAACAAATTGGCTGTGTACATTTTTCAAGTATTAAGTATACCGGCTAGGGTCCGTTATTAGTTTATTTTGGTCATTATGCATGAGAATCTAATTAATAGAAAACACACCTATCATCGCGTAAGTGTGTTTTCCGCTTTAGGTGGGTTGTTCAGTGAGACCATAAAACCAGATATAAAACAAAATATTTGGCTAGTTTTTTTACTTTCCGCGTAGTCTTTAGTTAAGCTCAATAACTTTTCTAAATGTTTGTTCAACTTTTTAAACCATATAAATAGTAGGAATTCGGAAGAACAGTTAAATAGGTATCTGTTTCAATAATAATCTTATTTTTTTATGTAAATCGTTGTCAGACAAGGCATTTTTCAATTTTGGAAATAAAAAAACTTTACAGCAGAGCAAATCAAAAGGATACGTGGACATGGTGATAATTCACCATGTCCATGACATGCTGATTTAGACAAATGATAATAAAACTAAAATTTGACAGCTGTCAGTTGAGAAGTAATACTAACAAAAAATAAAGCATTTACTATACTGCTAACGTTATCTAACGGATTTTTTAAGAAGTTATTGAATGACCTAGGTAATACTTATATGTAATATGGCATTTAAAGCAGTGGCTCAAGAGGATGTTATGTTAATGCGTATGTTTTTTCAAGGGAGGTGGCAGATTGACAAGACGATGACGGTCTAAACAGGAACTAACTGAATAAGAATAAAATATGTGAGACTCAGAAGTTCACAGCTAAAGGGCAAATCAACTAAAAAAATTAGTCCAAACACTTTTGGTTGTAGGAATTTCAACAAAGAAATTGTTCTATAGCCAATGTGTTTTACCTGAAGAAGACCGGTGATCCGTCTGACGTAGTAGATGTAGAATTTTCCAAATCATTATCCAAATCAAACTGATGCCTACTCTCCTCCATTAACAGTATTAAATTTTCATCGACAACTTTTAAAGCTTGTTTTTTAATAAGTTCTTCATTTTCTTCGCTAATTGTCATCACAGGCGGATGGTGGGTGGGGGTGTTATGTTTGGAGATATTGCCTTGATCATCTGTAACATTTTAAAATAAAATAGTCTATTATACATCATTGGGATTATAATTATTTAGGATCAACCTTATTTTTAAATTTGAAAAAACAGGTTGTGTCAAGAATTGTAGAAAATGCACGGATAGTGATGAAGATGAAAATCAACTAGCTTGTAAAATTAATGAAGAACGGGAACAGCGTGAAACTGCCGTATGTAGTCTAGCTGATATCAATTTTCCTTGTAACTGCATCATAATTTCAAGTGAAACAACTAGTACTAGTGCTCGAAATGTACGAAATATTTTAAAAAGAAACATCTACCATTGCTAGAAATAGAAAAAAACAGGAAATTTTCCCTGCTGATTATGAATGATGGATAGTGTTTTGTAAAGACATGATAGAGCACACCAATCGTGATGAAGATCTCATGAAAAAAATCTTGCTTAAAGATGAGTCTTCTTTGTCTTAAACTGGCCATCACAATCCATCTGGGTACGTTACTGGGTACGCGGGACGATCGCGCAAAAGATGGAGTGACAACCTTTCATAGAGGTATCAATCCGCCAATGAACAAGCTTCTTCTTTTTCTTCTTAGCCTTCTGTCGTCCATGTTTGGACATAGACCTCTCCCAACTCCTTCCAATGAATTAACAAGCAGGATTGCTTGTAAAAAGGAAGAAAAAGAAGAAGAATTTATTATGTTACTTTTTATCAATTAAGATTAAAGACACTGTTGATTTAATCTAAGATATGAACCTGCTTTTAAACCATGTAATTACATCTATGAAAAATTTTACCACGCCACCTTAAAAATTAACTTTCTGCAACAATGTACAGACAAAACTGCCCATATGCATACAGGTCTATCACAGACATGTAGTTACATGTTATTTTCTTGGACATACAAGTATATATAATATTTTTTCTCACTTCGTTGCGATGTCTGAATGTCCTCTAGTCAGATGATGTTTTTCGATACCTGTATATATATATATATATATATATATATATATATATATATATATATATATATATATATATATATATATATATATATTGTACTCGAAATATTGAGAATATTTTGACACAATCACTGTTGGAAACAAACAACACAAAAAATTCTACCACACCTTATTAATCTTGGCCTTGCTATAAAACGAAAGAAAGTAAATTCTATTAGACCAAATCAGACGCTTCCAACATCCAATGGGACAGTTTTCCAATACAGACTATATGCCACTAATCCACCACGGATGACGGAAAAACCGACTGACCTATCAGACTCTCGAAGACAGCAAAAGCCCTCAAAAGCAATATATCCAGAAAAGAGAAAAATTCTAGATAAAGAAATACGAAGATAATTAGATGTCTAATGAAGACAAAAATAAGCATATTATATAAATATGTGAAGATCTTGGGAGCATGCAAAAAAAAGAGGCCAATCGAAATTTATAATGAAGTTAAGTATTTGCCTAGCTGGAGGATTCAAACCACAAATATAAATTATAATGAATCACAGTAAACCAATAACAGATGCCAACAATATTGATAAAGTATGAAGACAATACTGTGAATAATTGTTACAGCATACTGATGGAGCCGTAAATCACAATCTAGATTTTAGTCAGATGGAGATGGAACCTTTAATTCTGAGCGCTGAAGTGGTCCTTAAAAACAAGAAATCACTCGGTGAAGATGACATAAATGCCAAAATAATTAAAGCAATGCAATTAAACTACAGAACAACAGCTTTAATATCACATACAAGGTAAGATTCTGCTTCATATTATATACGAACGCTTGAAGCCTTTCTTATTCCTACAGAAACCTAACGAACAAACAGGGATTATGCCTAGCAACTGAAGGAGGGAGAGAGAGCAAATAATAAAAAAACATATGCATTTGAAGTTGAAGCCAAAACACCATCAGGTTATATCCCTAAAAATAGATAGTGACTTGACAAAAATGACTACACAGAAATACAAAAGTAACAAAACTCAATCCGTCTTATTCTTCGAAAATCACTATCTTCCATAGACTAGTGTGGTGAGTGTAAACATTTAATTAACAATACTTACCTGTCTTTTCGCAACTATCGCCACTAAGATCACTAAAGAAATTAATGAGAAACAATAAAGAGTCTTGATCAATATTCAACCGAAGCGGCAATATCGATACTTTCAGGCAACATTCCTGAGTTGGCAGCTTTGGATCAGGTCGTATGTGAAGGGATTTAATGACTACCTATAAGGTAAAAACAGTATAAAATAAAAAATAGTATAAAATTATGTAATAGTATAAAATTATGACTAGAAGTAATGTTTCCTTACCATGTGTGCATGTGACTGTTTTGGCCTGCTTTGACTAGTATATTGGTAGAGAAATTTATTTATTTGACTTGATTCTAATCTATCTACAATTTCCACGTCGGATATTATCAACACTTGCCGCGACGCTTGTGTCGTTGTTTCTGGATATACTTCGTGTTGAAATCTAACCTGAAAATAAAAAAAAAATAGTTTGGACATTTATAGTAAATTAATAAAACTAAATAGATAGTTGGACAAAAAATTTTTGCCCCGTAGAGTAGCTCCAAGCTTTCTACTATGTTTTCTGTATTTTTAAAATTTAAATATTTTTAAAATTGAATAAAGTAATTTTACAGTTTATTTCTTATTTATAATTTAAATAAATTATATTATAATAAATTTAATAAATTATTTTGTTTGCTCCTAGCGCCATCTGCTAACGTATCAACAAAGTTACGTTGTATATTTCGTCTGTATTGTTGACAAGCATACGTTGTTTACTTCTGACAGACCCGTCAAAGTGAAACTACATGTTAAATTAATATTAAAATATAAATATCATTTGATAGTAAATTTATTTATTATATAAACTAAATAAGATGTTCAAAAATAAAATGTGAGTACCTATAGTTTGAAAGAAATTTATTAACAACTAACTAACTAATAGAACGCCTGTATAAAAGCTTCGCTTCTACATTATTGAGAAAAAAAAACTTAATGTAGTCTATTAATCCTTTAGCGGTGACGTGAGGTCATCACAGTTCCGACTATGAAGTGGATCATCTTTTACTGTGCAGAATATCTGGAATTAGGTCATATGTCTAAACAAAAATCAGCGGACGATTATAGTGGTTTTTTCCTACCGCATCATGCTGTCTATAAACCCTCTAGCATTAGTACAAAACTTCGTGTAGTCTTTGATGGCTCAGAAAAGTCTACTTCTGGCTTATCTGTGAATGATCTCATGATGGTAGGCCCTAATATCCAAGATGATTTATTCTCTATAGCAATTCGTTTTCGAAAACATAATATTGTCATTTCAGGAGATATAGCCAAAATGTATTGCCAAGTACTTATTATTAAGGAACAGCGCAATTTTCAAAAGATACTACGAGTATGGCAATTTAATCCAAATGATTATAGTCCGAAGACTGTAACTTATAGTCTAGCATCCAGTGCATTCTAAGCCACAAGATGTCTACGAAAAGTAGCGGATGATATTAAGCATTCTAATTCAAAACTAAGCTTCATAATGGAACATGATTTCTATATTGATGACCTTCTATCCGTTGCTGATACCGTAGAAGAATTCTTAAAAATTAAAACTTGTTTGATACAAATTTTTAAATCTTATGGCATGGATATTTGAAAATGGAACCTTCAATTCAATGCTTATTGGTGATACTGACAAACTAAAACTATTGAAATAGGAAACTCAGAAGCTGGTAAAACCCTAATGAAACCCTCATTTTGATATTTTCTCATACTCAGTTACTCAAACTCTATTAGTCAAGGTATATACATACATAGCGAGTGTTTGCAACTTTAATTTTGTCGTTTCTCGCATCCCAATCGCCATAATTTCTTATCGGCCCAGTCTCCTTCTTCAAGACCTCTATTTTCCATTTCTATATGAATATTGGATATCCATTTCTTTCTTGGCCTTCCCCTTTTATTTCTCTGTGTAGGTCTCCAGTTCCAAACCTTTCGTGGTATCCTTTCTTCGTTCATCCGTCTCAGGTGTCAATATCATTTTAATTGTTTTTCGGCTATCGTATCCATTATTGTGTTCTTTACTTTCATTCTCTCTCTTATGTTTTCATTTCTTATGTGGTCAAACAAAGTTAACCCGGAACATCTTCTCCAGTACATCATTTCCGTTGAGAGGAGTTTTTGTGACATATTCTTGTTAAAGACCCACACTTCTGACCCATACGTCAGCACCGGCTGAATCATAGCCCGATATATATTTTTCTTTGTTTTCTTAGTTAAAGTTTTATTCCATAGGATCGGATGTAGTGTTTTTATCATGTTTTTTCCTTTTCCTATTTTTCTTGTTATATCTTTGTCGTCTCTCCCGTCTTCGCTTAGTGTAACTCCGAGATATTCGTACTGATCAACGTTTTTAATTAATCCGCTTTCTGTTTCCATGTCTTGACCGATGCCTCCTATATTCATGTATTGTGTCTTTTCGGTATTAACCTCTAATCCCCATTTTTTGAATTCGTCTATTAGTTTGTTTATCATGTACGTCATATCTTGTAGGTCCTCGGCAAGAACTACCTGGTCGTCTGCGAAGAGGATTGTGTATATAGGAGTGTCATTTACCCTTATGCCCATTGGGCTGCATTTTCTCATCCAATATTTTAAAGCATTACCAAGATATATTTTAAATAGGGTTGGGGAGAGGCAAGAGCCCTGTTTGACACCCTTTGTTTGGGTGAAACCCTTGGAAATTTGGTTTCCAACCTTAATATAAGCTTGGTTATCTTAATATAGCTTTTTCACGGCATTTATATATACTGCATTTATACCTGCGTTTTCCAATGTTGTCCATAGTCTCTGCAGTGGTACGGAGTCAAACACTTTACGGAGATCTATAAAAGTGGCATGAAGTTCTAGTCCTCTTGCTAATCTCTTTTCCGTTAGATGTTTGAGAGTAAATACATTGTCGACACAAGATCTCCCTGGTCGGAATCCACTTTGTTCTTCGATCTCTGTGGCTTCTTTTTCTATTCTGGCTTTCAGAACTTTTTCATATAGTTTGCCAGTGAATGGTTTAGTCAAGGTAACTCAAAAAAATATTCTCAGTTCCATTTCTCAATTTTTTGACCCACTTAGTATCTCCATTGACTATAAAAGCTAGGATTCTTATTCAACAACTTTGGCAATTACATATTCCATGCGACGAATCAGTACCTGCATCAGTTCACATAAAATGGTTTACATTTCAAAAAAATTATTGAACTTAAAATACCCAGACTTGTTTTAACCAAAGATAAGGAACTCATAGAATTGATAGGATTCGCAGTTGCTTCCGAGTCAGCTTATGACTGCTGTATCTATATTCATTCCTCAGATTCCTCCAGTAATTCTCTGTGTCATTTGCTTTGTGCAAAACCTGGGTGGCTCCTTTAAAAATCCACAAGGAAAACAATTCCTGTAGCTGGCTGTATACCACGTATCACAAAAAAGAGGTTAATCTTCATAAATGGGTATATTTAAAAAACCCTTAAAAGAGCTACATCAAATATAACACAAACATTTTCGGAATAATAATTCCATCATCGGGTTTAAAAATGCAAGGTTAACATGCCTAAGCCACCAAAATATCAGGGTAAAAACCCTTTAAACTACATGCTGTTGTAAAAGATTGTACATTATGTTGTTATAAATATGTGATGCTAAATATTAAATTAAATTTGACTTCAGGTAACATACACTCATGGTTGAAGTGAGTTCCAGTGTCCGGAGAGTAAACCTCTTCAAACGGACTACAGCTGATAACTGAGGTCATCACTTTCAAAATACACTAATTAAATACTTTTTTTTTCAGACACATTCGAATCTTGGACCTAAAAATATCCTTCATCTTTCCAAATGCAGCCCAAGCGAGGTTTATTCTTTTTTTCAGCTCGATTGTTTGGTTGTCTGGACTTATTCTGATCTCATAGCCCAAGTATTTATATGAGTCAACTGGCTCAATATCTTTGTCTTCTACTGAGATGTTTTTGTTGTGGACTAAATTTGTCATATATTGTGTTTTTGAAAAATTTATTTTAAGACCAACTCTTTTTGTGGCAATATAGAGTTATTGAACATTATCTTTGCCTGATCAAAGCTGTCTGCAATAAGAACGATATCATCTGCAAATTTAAGGTTATTTAAAAATTTTCCATCTACATTGATGCCCTTTTCGTTCCAATCTATTGTTTTACAGGCGTATTCTAGCAAAGTTGTAAATAATTTAGGAGACATGTTGTCTCCTTGCCGAACGCGTCTTTCAATACGAAAGGTCCCAGTATCTTCATTAAGTCTTACACAGGCTGTAGCATGCTGATTAGATGTATCTGATGAGGGATATGTATCGGTGATCTATTCTACATCGTGTTAGAGCTTGGAAAATTTCCCTTTGATTGACCGTATCAAATGCTTTTTCAAAGTCGACAAAGACAAGTATCAGGGGTCTATTATATTCAATGGTTTTTTCAATTAACGACTTAATGGTTTGCAAATGATCATTTGTTCCGTATCCAGCTCTAAATCCTGCTTGCTCGCAAGGTTGATAGAAGTCTAGTTTTGATGTCAACCTATTAGTTGTTATCTTCATAACCAACTTATAAACGTGAGATAACAAGCTAATAGGTCTGTAGTTCTTTAGATCTGTTATATCTCCCTTTTTGTACATGACTACTATAACAGCTTTACTCCACTGAGATGGTGTAACATCTTTTGAAAGGCATAAGTTATATAATTGTGTCAATGCTTTCAATACTGTCTTTCCTCCTGCTTTAACTGCCTCAATAACGATTTTGTCATCACCAGCTGCTTTATTGTTTTTCATTCCATTTAATGACTTTGAGACTTCTTCGATTGTTTTTTCTGGGATATCCTCTGAAACCACATTCTGGACTTTTCTCAATTTGGTGCCGTCTTTCTTACCCCTTTCTCTATATAATTCTGTGTAAAATTCTTCAACTACCTTAATTCTCTTATCTTTATCTGTTACCACTTTTCCATTTCGATCTGCGAGCTTAACAATATTCTTCTTACCTAGAGCTTGACATCTCTTCAGCACCTTTAAACTTTTATTTTCCTCGACAACCGTTATAATCTTTTTTGTGTTATATTGTCGTACGTCCTTTCTCACTGCTTTATTAATATCTTTATCAAGTTGTTGTAGTACGCGTGCATTCGCATCGTTTTTGTTCTTAAGTTCTCTACGTGTCTCCATAAATCTTTTGCCATAATATCTACACATTCAATTTAATTGAGTTACACCACTTTTACAATGAACGACACATATTTTGATGAATAGAAAGAGCAACAGGGATGAATTGAGGATACTACTACGTCAATTTAGTAGACAAAGGGCATGACAAGAAGCCACCCCACTTATCAGTTTTGTAATATATAAGAATTATATTTTAGCTTTACCGTACAAGGCCTGTTGAGCTTTGTAAATAACTAAAATGTAAATTATCGTTATTTTCTAACATTATATCAAACATGTCCAATTTGGAATATATTTATTGAGGAAAAATTAGCTTCAAGGTATTATACTAAAATGTGTTCACTGTTGGGCAAATTTGAAGAAAGATATTAAACTCAATTTAAAAAATTATGATAGATTTTTCATAAATTATAGCGGCTAGTATAGTAAGAATAGTTTTTAATAATTAAATTCCCAATGTTTTAAACCAAATGTACCTACCTTATTTAAATGTAATTCCATGTGGACATCATGATCCCTATTGACTCCTCCCTTGACAATCCAATTCATATTAGCTTTCTTTTTATCCATATGACTAGTGATATGCACTTCGTTTTTATTTCCTTTGGAAAAACTAACGGTATCATTCAGTTGAGTTTCTGAAAATTGTACAGTTTTTTTCTTGTTTTCACTTTCCGCTACTTTGAAATCGTTTCCACCATACATGTGCCAAACTACTGTCATGTCACACAGAGTATACCGAGTGATAGGTATAGGAAATGATTTAGGAGGTTTCAGAAGATCCGTTTTACCAACGGGGATGTTAAAGTGATTATCTATTACTCGCACGGGGTCGCTGGAAAGCCATCGAATATCAGGAATGCCATTTGCCGGGTATAATCCGAGACCGGGTTCTTTACCTATAATACAGAACTCATCATCTGTGTCACTACTTCTACTGGAGTGGTAAGCAATGTCACCTAATTCATAAGTCACTTGTGGTAGAGGTTTAGAAAGTGTTTCTTGTTGTATTAGCTGCTTTTCATCGGGAAAGTAAAATAGTTTGGCACCGAGGTTTGAAGAATGCATCGGATTATCTAAAAATCAGTTAAACACTATTTATCTAATACTTTAAATAGAACGAAATGTTTATTTATATGACTGCTGGGATGAATAGCAAAATTAAAGGTTTTTAAATACCGTTTATTCCAAATCAAATAATGTACAGTCGATCCGCCGGATCTTTGCACATCGTCATTATTCTTGTTATAGGAAATAAATCAAAACATGTGAGTCAAACATATGTCGGCTATAAGAATTATTATAAAAATTAGAAAATGGCTAATATTACAATTGGCGTTTTTATACTTCTTTTTTATTTTATTTATTGCTTTTGGAAGACTGGGTACGTATACATTTATGAACTAGATTTTCCAATTTTTGGAAACCTATAGGTTGTCCAATAACATCTACAGTAAATAAATATTTAAAACCATAGTTATCAAAAATTAAAGTATTTTTATTGAATATAAGCAAATATATGGTGCTGACATATCGTCAGATGATGTTCCTGTTGTTGGTAAATATCGGTTTAGATTTAAGAAGGTTACAAAAAAGAATAGTAACAAAAATGCGATATGAGAAGACTAAAATGTAAGTAAACAAAAGAGACGTTTTTAAAGATCAGAGAAGAATATCTAATAGAATTAAAGAGAAAAATAACAGTCAGATGAATGACAAGATACTGCAACTCATGGAAAAAAGAAAAAATCAAAGAACAACAAAAGAATGTACAACAATATTCAGAGACAAATAAGAACACAAATACGAAAGGCCAAAGAAAATTGGTTAAAATCACAGTGTGAAGAAATATATTTATTGGAAGAAAAACACGATAGGTTTAAAATGCATAAACAAGCAGCTGATCTTTAGAAATTAAATACAGCTAACAAACTGCGAGATCAACAGAAACATCGTCAAAGATAAAGATCAAGAAATTTGCATATGGACCAAGTGTCGTCTTCGGAATTAGCATAGGAATAAATGATACGATGATTGCAACTTGGTGCATTTCCTATATTTACTAATATGAAATATTTAAAAATATTTCATATTGTCCGTTGACGTAGTTTTAGCTATATTTAAATGATTAATGTCAATTTAGAGGTTAAAAAAAATATATTATTCGTTATTAGCTAATACATGAATTCTTACCTTAATAAATTGAACACGAAGGTAAGGGTTACTCGTTATAACAACTGTTTGTTCAAAAATATGTATATTTAAAGTATGAAAAAGGATTGATTATTTAAATCAAACGAAAATAATTTATAAAAATATTACAAACTCTGTCAAAACAAAATTTCCAATTGTCAGTAGACGAATCAATCAGCGATCATTGTTCTATGTCTGTCTTTGATCAATGCATGGTGTTGTGTATGGACAGGCGGTTTAAGTTAATAGTTTTAGTTTCTGTGAGTAGGAGAGAGACGTAGCATGAAAAATATATCGTGAATAATGTCCTGCATGTGCAAAGATCCGGCGGACCGACTGTATATACGTTTGAAACTCCAAGAAATGAACATAGACCAAGTATATCTAGCACCTCGGCAAATATTAATTTTAACTTTAATATTTAGTAGTGAGTTACAGCGGTCTTTAAGTTTGTTATGGTATATTGTTACGATAAATTCTGACCCAAAACCGTAAACATATTTATTACTAATATTCTTATTCATTCACGTATTGTCTAGGTAATACCTACCTAACACACGATGGGTCCCCCTCCGATATAAAAACAACAATCGAACCTTCTGGAGAGAGGCCGCTGTCAAAATAACAGTTTGAGACCATTCGCCGCTCTGTCTAGCCGAGAAGGCCATCGAACATTCGACTATGTTCCATTTTAACAGATAATTTCATATAAATAACGGGACTTTAATTGGGGGGGGGTCAGTCAGAAGAGAATATCGCGGATATCGGGTTTTTAAATGTAACGATCGTATTAAAATAAATTATGTATTTATTTTTTCAACCTATTCTCTATCCTTCCATTGTTGGATATAGGTCTCCCCCAGTTCTCTCCATCTTTCCCTATCTTGAGCTCTTCTCTGCCATGTGGGACCTCCTTGTTTCCTGATGTCATCTTTCCACCTCATCTGTGGTCTGCCTCTTGATCTCTTTGCATTGTATGGACGCCACTTTTCGATGGCATTGTTCCATCGTCCGTCTTGAAGACGTTCATTGTGTCCAGCCCATTTCCATTTCAGTTTTGCTGCTTGTTCTATCGCGTCTACTGTCTTTGTTCTGGTTCTGATCCACTGGTTACGTTTTCTATCTTTAAGTGATATACCCAACATTTGTGTCTCCATCGCTCTTTGTGCCTTGCTTATCCTATCCAAATTGGTCTGTGTAAATGTCCATGTCTGTGCTCCGTAGGTGAGCACCGGTATTATACAGGAGCTATACACCTTGCTTCGTAAGTATAGAGGGATTATTTGATTTTTTAGAACGTAAGAAAGTTTGCCGAACGCTGCCCATCCCATTCTTACTCGTCTCGATATTTCGGCTGTTTGATTTTCTCTGTTAGCTCTAATTGCTTGTCCTAGATAGATATACTCATTTACCTGTTCTATTTTTTCTGTTTGTATTTTTATTGCCTTTTGGTCTTCCGTGTTTGTCATTACTTTTGTTTTGTTGAAGTTAATTTTTAGGCCTTTTTGCAGTGATTTTTCATGAAGTTCATTCAGCATTAATTGTCGGCTGTGTCGGTCTTAGCTTTCGTGGAGAAGGAGCTCTGAACTGAGTAGGGGTTCTTCTGTACTTCAAGGAAGACAGACTGAGCGGGGGATGTCCTCAACCTCGACACGGCACGTCCCATATGGCTGATAGGGAAGTTCCTGCAGATTTGCAGGACAGGTACGAATAAAGCATTGCCAAATAAGTACCCGCAGATCAACTGAGGATATGACATTAGGCAGCAGTAATGTCATTACTGGATTAAGGCTATGGGAAGTAAAAATTCTGTAGGCTTAATTCCAGATACTCACCGGCGTCACTCACATTATGAGTTAAGCGGCTGTGATACTGCGACAACAGCAGCGTCTGACCCAGAGTGGGCGGCTGCAGACAGCGTCTGTTCCCAGAGTGGGCGGCTGAAACACACTTACCAACCCGTCTGGCCAGCGTGGTGAGTTCACGGCCAATCTACCCCCTCTCTTATGACAGATACACGTAAGAATTGGCCCTCAGTCCCCAGCAGCTCCGGAGTCACCTTCCAAGGCAATGGTAGGATCGAGGAAAGAGCAAAGGGTGCCAAGAATCCCTGGGTTTCAGAAGATTGCCATAAACAACGAAAACAAGCAACGAAATGTAGTTATTAGTAGGAAATAAATTGGTTATATTGTACAAATAAATAAACTTTAAATTAAGTTGTGAGTGGTATAAATATGGAACCTTTGATAAATAATAAAAACAATAGATTAGAATTAATAAAGACTTAACAATATTAACCAATTAAACATAATATAAACTAAAGAAAAATTCGAAAAATAAAAGACTGATTGAAAACTTTATAAGAAATGTAAAAACGAGAACTCTGCCTGGGGGTATGAGCGCGAGGACTTGATTGATTGAGTAGCTCGGAAGCCGCGTTAATGCCCACAGCTAGTCCGAAGCCCGGATAAAAGAGGAGAGTTGATGGGCCAGGTTAGCATCCTACCCATTGTAAAAGAAAACAAGGCTCAAAGAACCGATATAAAGCCACGGAACCAGATGGAACCGAAGATGACGAACCACGCAAAGAGAAGGAAAACGAGAAGGAAAAATAAGCCCACAGTCAGATTAGCAACATGGAAAATTACTTCTTTCAACAACAAAGACCAAGAGATAATAGAAGAACTGATAAATAAAAACCTAGACATTTTTGCAATTCAAGAATCTAAGAAGGAAGGTAAAAGCCAAAGAAAGAAAGAAGAACGAGCATGAGCAGGCGTAGGCATACTTGCTCATAAAAAAATTAAAGACAACATAAATAACTGCCGTTATATCTCTGAAAGAATAATACATATGAACATGAACGAGAGGCATTCTACGAACAATTGCAAAACCATCCTGGATGAAATACCCCACGAAGAAACTTAATTCTTATGAGTGACTTTAATGAAATAGTTCCAGGAGTAAAACAAAGATTTAATAAAAACCATGTCAACGCAAATGAAGGAGAACTCATGCTAATCTCAGTGCTTTAAACGAACTGAGAATCAATAATACATTTTTCGACCATATGCTCCAGTATAAATATACAGTTGAAAACTCCAAGGGACACAAATCTATGATTTTATAGTCACTAATAGAAAAATCAACCCAAAACGGATTCTAGATATCCGAACTCTAAACTCAGCAAACGCAGGAAGTGAACACAAACTAGCACTAGCAAAAATAAGAATAAAAATAACACCAAAACATTTCCTACACGAAATCACCGAGGAAAAATTCCTGTGGAACGACTCTACAAGAGAAATGTATCAAAGGAGGCTAGCATAGAATGTACAGCTGAAACAAATAGACGACATCGCAGATATAAACGAGGGCTGGGAGAAAATTAAAAACAACATTGAAGAAGTAGCAACAGTAGCTCTAGGGAAACGCAAAGTCATACTGAATAAAAGAAACAACAACAATACACTATGGTTCAGAAAAGAAATAAAGAAATGTAAAAAAAACAAGAGGCCTACCGGAAATACAAAACATCAAATACACCAGAATCCAGTTGGTAAGAAGAACAAAAAGTGAACACTGGGAACAGTTTACAAAAAGGATGGAAAGCTACTTCTACGGTACACAAAAACAAATATGGAAATTCATAAGAAACCAACGGAGAGAAATGGCAGAATTGAAGGAATACAATACCATACCAGCAAATGAATAGGAAAGATACCTGATGGAACTGTTTAAATGAAAGGAAAATAATAATCAACACAAAAACGTACCTGCGTTAAGACACGAAATAGAAATCAGTTTTCAGGAAGTAGACACAAAGAAGAGATAAAAGAAGATAAAGGGGACCCCAACAATTATAGAGGAATAAATCTACTGAACACCGCACTTGCTTACCACAAAAGGTCTAACCAAAAAATCAAAAAACTAACAACTTTATCAGATGAACAAGGATTCAAATCAGAAAGATCTTGCGTACACGCCGTATTTGTAGTAAGATAAATCACAGAAAAGGTCTTCGAGTACAATAAACCAGTTTAATAGACCTGACAAAGACGTTCGATCGCATTCAAGTCGAAGACGTCTTACACTTACTGTATAAAAAACCATACCAACCAATATTATACAAACCATCGAAAACAGCTACTTCCATAATCGAATACAGGCAAATATAAATGGAAAACTAACACAGTGTATACCAGTATAAAGCGGGGCCAAACAGGGTGACTCGTTAAGCCCACTTCTCTTTAATATAATGGACGAAATAATACAAGCAATACGTAAAGGTCATGGTTACATAACGAGGAACAAAGAAATCCAAATATTATGTTATGTAGACGACGCCGCATATAGAATAGTACGAATAGCACGAGATAACTTACCGAATGGACGAAGAAGTATTGGCAGACCAAGAAAAATATGCTGCGGCAATTTAAACAATTTAGCAGGCTAATATTGAAGAAAAAACAGGCTTTAAAGCATATATACAAGAAGGAAGAAGAAAAAGCAAAACCGAAACTTAAGGCATAAATTTCTATATGGTAAAATTTATCTATACCAAACATTTGACTAATTTATAAAATTCAAGTAGAGTTTCCAATCTAATATTAAAATCATACATACCTTCTACAACTTCACTTTCTTTCATGGCTTCTCCCAACAGTGTGTTAACGTGCTCATGTTGGCTCTTCGACAAATTACTAATCTGAGGTTCAACCGATACCAATTCTGCTTCAGCTTGGTGTCTAGGACTCGAGTAAGAGCTTCCTGTGGTTGTGGATGTTGGTGGTACTAGATCTCCGTCATTGGCAAAGTATATTATTAGGTTCGTTAACATTTTACAACTGTCTGCGCATGTATGTATGTTGAGAATGTTATTAGAAGCTCGAAGGTCGATGTGAGGGTTGATCCCACTTCTCTGTAATATTTATTATTGCATTAAGCCTATATATAAATTATATATAATATAAATTATAACATATAAAATAATATAGCTGAACAGTTTGCTTTTTAAATACAAATATAATATTCGAGATCTTTATCACAAGTATCCAAACTTTGTATATAACTTCGTTATGACTTATGTCATTTAGCTCGTAGCATGGTTCGAAGTAATCCTTATTCGGTTTAAAAACACGCTCTCACTGGTGCTTTTAGTCAATAAATCAGTTATGAAATTTCGTTTTTATCTTTGAAATGTGAAAAAGTCTTATGTTAGAACTGTACAAAGACGAGCGAAATTGTAGCAACTTATATTTGGCTAAAACTATTGCACAAGGTTCAATGAATGTCATGGAGCTATATGGCGATTATGGAAAAATTGGACCAGGTTCTTCATGCCATGTCATACAATTTTTTTAGAACTTAAGATGTAAAATTCTTTGTTGACATCTTGGAGCTTATTCATGATACAGTCCTTCATAATAAAAAAATAATAAATAATTACCATGGTTGGTAGGATTGAAGCTTCGAAGAGAATCTTTTTTCCTCTACCATGAGCAATTTTATAATGAATTGGCACACGCGCATGTCATTCTCAAATTCTATGTTAGAATTCCCAAAACACAAGTTTTCGTAATTACAAGATAGTCAAAGTATCGTCGGAGCGGGATAAGTATTTATAAAATTATACTTATCCGCTGGACGTTTTAAAGGGGCATTGTCTTGAAAAGGACAATGCCAAAGGATTGTTTATATGTAGGGAATAAAAACAACCATTTCTAAGTAGAAAAAAACTCAGCTTCAGAGTCTTTTTAAACTTTTTGCAGAGTCCTCCAATGAGGAGCCCTGCGGCTACTCCGTAAGAGTAAAACCACGACTGAATGTAAATCGAAAATGTCCCATATTTAAAGTATATTTAACTTTTATATGAAACTTTTACGATTTTTAACCAATAGAATTTATTAAAACTTCCAGAAGGAGGGACGATGCACGTCGTTGCGCGAGATTGCGGCGCTCGGCGACAAAAGCGTAGTCAAACCACGACCTTCTATCACAAACAACGATCTTCTATCGGTCGATATTGTTCGGTTTTGTTGTGCTGGAAGGTCATTCATAACGCTGATGAGACTAAATATACAGTTGACCATTTTTAAAACCATTAAACCACCCGCTTATCAATTATTTGTTGATACATTGATCCTAAAATGACTTTTGAACCTTTTCAATAGTTTCCGAACAACTTTCATCAATTTGGAAGAAAAAGTTAATTCAAATGTGTTGCCCGCACCTTTCCGTCATTTACAGCAATGACAAATACGACGAATACAAAGAAGACAATAACGTGGTATACGAAAAGAGTTATTGATTGCGCCCCTATGCCCCAGAGGTCACTGGAACGATTTAGCTATTTCTAATATAATATTAATATAAACATAATGTAAAAAAAAATCAAAAATTAGTTACCTTATCCGTTGTTCTTAAACTCAACTCAAACAGTCCTAACTGTAAGACATTGACATAATCTCTAATTAAGTCCACGGGTGCCACAGATACTTTCCCGTTTTTCGAGGGAGCTTTTTCGCTCAAAAATAGTGCACATTCTTCGAATATAAACCTCAGCGTAGACGAATTCGATTGAGCTGATAAGTGCGAAGACATACTGAAGTTTCCTATTGTGATTGCAGATCTAATAGCTAAATTTAATGGCCTAAAAATAAAATAAAAAAGTACATAAACTGTATATTGTTATGTAAAAAATATGAGTCATATTAAAAAAACCTGTAAATATGTTTTTGATTCACTAATATGTTCTAGATTTTACGGCCCTTCGACTAGCTGGCAGATATTCTAAGTAATAAATAAAAAACCGGTCCATTCGAACGTTCCGGAAATAGATTGAATGATAAACCAGGCCGTAACCTTCCAGTCTTTTCGCCAAGGGTCGACATCCTTCTAGTCTAACAGCTGTATGGTATATAACGGGATTTTCATTGTGGGAAATCAGTCAGAAAAGAAGATCGCGACGGGTATTTATATGTAACGATCGTATAAATAAATTATGTAATTAGTCGAAAATAAATTGTTGTATAGTGGTTTAATAAATTGATATAAATTATCGTGTTTTAGTAAATTAAAATAAGAACAATAAATTAGAATTAATAAAGACTTAACAATATATACAAAATTTGTGTGAAAGCAGACAAAATTATGCAAGTTAAGTATTTACAATGCAATAATTTTTAAGCGATTATTATTGCTACATTCACAGTTTATTCTGAAAGCAACGTAAGTATTTCAAACAATAATATATAAAATTAGGTAAGAACACTCATTATTAGAAGATAATGCTTATCTTATAATACTGTTTTCCTAAAATCACATTCTATGTTTATTGGCTATTGATCCACTCGGGCAGTGACCACATTAAAAGAATTAAAAAGAGTCACAAGTCAATGTTTACTTACCTATAATCTATGGCACAATCCCAAACGTGTAAATGTAATTCAGTCAGAACATCTTTGGCATGATAATTTGCTATCGGGTAATCTTGTACATTGAAAAAGTCTAACAAATGTGAAATCCAACTATTCGGTTCTGTACACATTCTATGTTTTAACGTACTCTTGTTTAACCCGATGGCTACTCTCACGGTCTAAAATCAAACAAATCAATCAAACAAGATATACGATATGAAGAATTTTAAGTATAATATGTTGAAATACTGGAAAATTTATGAGTAAACTTACCCTTAATCCCGAAGTTAATGTGTGGTATAAACTATATACAAAATTTCAAATTACTCACCTTAACGTGATGAGTTTCATGGTTAGCTTGTATTCTTATTGCGATAGTAAGCATCTCTCTATTTCCTCCTCTATTTTTTGAGGTCACAAGCATACCTTGCTCAGATTTATATATGGTGGGATGCAGATGACTTCCAACAGGTGATCCAAATGGTTTTATGGTAGAAGATTGACTAGGAATGCCCATCATATCTAAAATATATTTTATATTTTAAAATACATTTTAAATAGTTTTAATAAATTTCCTCTAATATTGACATATCCTATAATAAATTTGGTAATAAATAAATGTTATTTTTCTATATTTTCCTCTTATTCTTATCATACATAACCTTACACTCCCGTACCGCATTACCTACTGATTCAACCGATTGTGTAGGTTAACCTTATATGTTTTTAACATTACATATTAAAGGGAAAGTGCCATCAGTGGGGCAGGTCCCACAGTGTGACAAGTAATGTATTTAACAGTGCATAAAAGAGAACATTTGCTAGTGACTGTAATCGTGTAATTATACTCAGTTCTGTTTTAACGTTTGAAGGGTCTGCTGGAGGTAAGGTGCTTCGAGTGAGATAAAGTTGAAAACGTGAGTATTTTTTTTCCAATTTTTGGTTGCTGTGCATTATATATTTAAACAGTTAGGAGCTGTATTGCAGCATGTCAGTAAGAATGGTTATTAAAGGGTAGACTTTTGGAAAAATTCTTTATATAATGTTAAAAATTAAGAACTTACAATTTTTTTAACTGATGGTGTACAGTTTCCAATACTGGGTCGTGGACGTCCCAGTGTTGGAAACCACCAACCGCCAAGAACCAAAGTGCCACGTCCTACAGTGGGATATGTCTCACTCTAGGGAGTATTGTAAATATATAAATATGTATATACATTTTGCATTTGGCATAGAGAACCAATAGAGTAAATTCTTTAATTTCCGATTAAGAAAAAGAGTAAAGACGTCGAAACACGAAAGCTGAAAGAGCATGAACCATCGGTCATGCGAGAGGCGGTTGCTATGGTAATTGCTGGACAACCACTGAGAGAAGTAGGCAATATAAAAGGTATTCTACATCAAACATTACACCGATACGTACAAAAACAAAAAAATACTCAAGATACATGATATACGACGAATTTTCGACAAAGAGCAGGAAAATATGTTAGCGAATTATATAATTGTTTGTGCTAAAATGTTTTATGGATTTTCCGTTTTAGAATGCAGGCAACTTGCCTACGAAATGGCTGAAGTCAATAACGTTGAGATGCCCGAGAGTTGGAAAATTTGAAAATTTGCTGTACAAAATGGATGAGAGGTTTAGAAAGCGAAACCATCGCCTATCATTAGGGACGTCCGAGGGATTCAGTATTTTTTTCCATCTTTTGGTTGCTGTGCATTGTATATTCAAAGAGTTAGGAGCTGTACCGAAGCTATGTGAGTAAGAATGGTTAACAAGGATAGACTTTTTGAAAAATTCTTTATAAAGGGTGATTGATTGGTGTGAGGAAGCTCAGTAGATCTGTTATAGTAAAAATTACAAAAAATGTTATTGACTAAAATTGTAGACAGCAGTAAACTCCACATTTTAAAATTAGTTACAATCTTACAGGGTGTTCCATAAGATGGTAGCAGATCAAACTTATGTTTTTTTAAACGGAACACCCCGTATTTTATTTTTAATTTGAAATCTGCTTCACTTCCACATCACAACCAACACCATAATAAACAATAATGTCAAACGGTCAGTTTCTGACAAATCAATCATGACCAAATTACAATAATTATTGGTAAACGTTAAAATATCTACCAAATTAATACAGTTTGGCTCGAGCGATTGGGTTTAATGAGGCAAATGCATGAATATTTTTTAATAAGCTACATGCTTGTTACCAATGAAATGAACGATTCGCTGATGGGACAAGAGTTTTTAATCTCGATAAAACGGCGACCATAACACAACAAAAACATCAAATTAAAAATGGCTTCCTCCAGCAATGCAGGAAGCCAATTTTATCCCCCCTCGGGATCATTTTCACTGCAGGATAGTTAACGGTGCACCAAGAGGGACATTAGGTTTAGCTTATAAAACAGGCTGGATTTGTGGATGTAATGCAGCATTTCTTTAAGTGCAGTGGATCTTCAAAAACAAACCTCTCCATTTTATTATATGATATCCATATATCTATTCAGTACTTGAATCTGGCAAAGAAGAATATTTTGACCTCTCCGCCACACTTGACCCACAAATTAAAACCGTTAGATGTGGGTATTTTTGGACCATTTCAAAAATTCTACAATGGGGCTATATACAGTTTAATACTTTATAATCTTGGCAACTCCTTTACCATTTATGAAGTTGCTTGCATGTGTTGGGCAAGCCCATGAAAAAGCAATGACTCCAGCCACAATTACCAATGCATTTAAAAAGACTGGTATTATGCCATTTGACTGCAACGTGTTTACTGAAGATGATTATTTAAGCAGCAAGGTGACTGATAACCCTGTTCATCTTAACATTACCAATGACGAAAATAATCAGGAGAATATGGGTATGCCCCCTAATCCCGAGAATGCACATCTAATTGAAACTATTGCGGCAGTTGAATTTCCAGAAGTTCCATTACAAATAAATGAAACTAAGTCTAAGACAGATGTATCGAAGATCCCATCAACAAGCGGTGTTAGCTAACACAAATCAGCGAATTTTTTCTCTTCAGAAATATTTCGAGGATATTCCAAGAAAGTGACAAGACAACAAAAAGACGAAGAAAAAAAGGAAAGTGCATGACAGCGACTGATACGCGCGAAAAATTGGAGATTGAAAAACAATTTTTAAAAAGGCAAGAGGAATTGGAAAAGCAGAAGCAAAGAACCATTAGAAAAATTTGTGAAGCCAGTTAAAAGAAAAAAAGAAAAGAAAAACGAAGCAAATCACAATACCAAAACGAAACTTCAGAGACGAAACTAGTTTAGACCTCTCCACAGATGATGACTACACAGATATCTCAGATGAATTGCAGGAAGATGACTGTGTAGAATTACTTTTGTGTACATTAGATAGACCACCAGAGAGCAATTAATTCGTCTTAGTTCAATTTGAAACAAAAGAATCCGATATTTACTACATAGGTAAAGTTGTAAAGGAAGGTCTGCAGGAAACAGAAATAATTTTCCTACGCAAACTTTCTTAACACATTGCCTGTCGTCTCGGTCTATGTGACCGAGAAAAAAATTGCCTTGCCCGCCAGCGACGTCTATTGACCGAGAATTTTAATTGTTTTGCCAGCTCGGTCACTATGACGGCAGGCAACGTGTTAATCAAGAGAAGTTTGTGTACCCACAAGTTCCTGATGTTTCCTTGGTCCCAAATGCAAATATTAAGGGCATTTTACCTCAACCAAACATTTTTGGTCAAACGAACAGGCAATATTCACATTTGATTTTCAAAGTAAATTTTGGACTAATAAATTAACGATGAGTTTAATGTATTGCAATTATTTGAGCAGTGATGTTTTTTCCTTTTAATTTTTTTGTAGTTAAGGTAATTAAATTTGCCCTTATCAAATGTGTACATTCAGTTACCGGTTAATTATTTTTAATGAAATATAATTATGTTATTTTTATTTTTTTCTCTTTTTATTTCTTAGTACATTTAAAAATATAATATCTGTTATAACAGAGTTAATTTTCTACCTGTGTGACTCAAGGTACTGTTGTCTCACTCTTGAGCACATCATGTTTCATTCTTGGACAAGGGTATCCGACAGTGAGACAAAGTTGACTGTTTAGAAAACATTATTTTTTGGCGTATACAAAAAGAATATGTTGTTAATTTGCTCAACTATTAGGAGTTTAAACTAGTGTTAAATATTACATAAGGCTTAGTCCATTTCAGATAATTGAAATAATTGAATAAATTTTGTGAATACAAATAAAATTGTCCCACTGTTGACCACTTTGCCCTACAGGGTGTAGCGCGACAAGTTTTGATTAAAAATAATGGCGGATACAGTTACGTTAAAACTCTGAAATTACCAAGCTGTTTTGGATGACGCTGAGTTCAAATTTAATTTTTTTCTGAATGTGGAACTTCCGCTTATACCGGAAGTAGACGATAACTTTGTTATTTTAAATAGAACCTAATACATTTTATTTTGAACTTACCGCAATGGTACAGCTGAGCGTTATGTAATTGTACGCAAACGAATCCTAAATTATCATCACCTTTGTACCCACTAACCACAAAAATGTTGGCGTCTTCCAAATTTAGGAAAAATTCTCCTTGTTGCCCAGGTATAACGTTGCTTGCAGAATCTCTAACTGGTGGATGTATTTCGAGAATTCCTTGAGCTATCTGTATACTAAGGACGAAGTCGCTTTGTACTTTTTTAACAGGTTCTTGAACTTTATGCTGGGCCGGCTTGGTAGGTTGTCGCATTTTGTGGTCGTACGTGGAGAAAAAAATGTTGCTTGTGCTATCTTCGGATTCATCACTTTCGCTATCCGATTCTAAAAAATATTTGATAATATAAATTCGATTCTACTTATATAATAAAAACTTTAAATCCCTACAATTATAAAAGTGAGAGAATATTTTTTCTCATAATTTTATTGGTTAGAAATATGTGATAAACAATTTAAAAGTTTTAAGACCATATTAAACTTACCATATTGAATTCCACTCTTACACATTGTGAAAGTATCTTGACCGTCAACAATAACAGTTCTTCCTCCATATGCAGAATATGTTAAGTTCGTGGCTGCAGATTTAGTCTTCGGTGCACTAGGAGTCCAAAGTAATAAATCGTTGTTAATTCTGTTATATAAAACTTCGTATACGTGTTTCGACTTTAATTGTAGGGAAATTTGAGGAATATAAACGTCAACATGAATTTTAACCGAATCTGTAGTGGATTTGATGAATTCGTCTATCTCGTATTTATCACCAGGTATTATGAGTTCATCGGTATCATCTAGAAAATATAACAACATAAATAAAATACAGTGACTTACGCAAAGTAATGTGTCTCGCGAATCCAGGTATAACTACTTTCTCTGCTATTTCAATTTCTGATGATAAAACACCTCGACAGAGACAATACTTAAATGACCTCCGGACCGAACTGAAACGTCGAACAGACAATGGAGAACAAAATCTGATCATTAAGTACGTAAAGGGTAGACCTACCATAGTCAGTAAAACTGAGAGCTCTTTAAACTAAATGTGTCCAGCAGTTCCAGATCAAGTAAATCACAATACGTTGAAATTACATGTTATTACCAAAATGTACGCGGCCTTAATAGCAAAATTTCATTATTTAATGCAAACGTTAGTGATTGTGAATTCGACATCATAGCATTAAGTGAAACGTGGTTACGCAGTGATGTTTCGAGTATGGAACTCTTTCCGAATAATTATGTCGTATACAGAAAAGACCGAAAATTCCATGAGGTGGATAAAGTGAAGGGTGGTGGTGTAGTGCTCGCGTTAAAAGATTTCATAACATCTGAAATATTGGACATCACGACTCTCGACGCACAATTTCCACTAATTGATCTTATTATTGTCAAGTGCCGGATTGGCTACAAATATTTTTTATATAGTTGTTGTTTATTTACCTGATAGATTAAGTTTGGTAGACTTTGAATATTTTTTTGATTGCTTAGCACAATTTGATTACTTAAATAATGACTGTATAGTACTAGGCGATTTTAATGTTTCAAGGTTTATAGATGATATGTCTGATTTCAAAACTTCTGTAGTTTTAAGTTTTGCGGGCTCTACTGGCCTTAGACAATTTAACAATGTTGTTAATCATTTGGGTAGACTGCTAGATTTGGTCTTATCGCATTTCAGTTGTGATGTGAAGCATGATGACTCATCTTTGGTCTATGAAGACTCTCATCATCCTGCTCTTCTAATAACATTTACGGATATATTTGTAAAAGAGCCTAAATTTAAGTGTGGTTTGAAGCAATTAACTTACAACTTTAAAAAAGCAAATTTTCCTGCTTTATATCGAGAACTGTATGAAACGGATTGGAATTCTCTGGATACTTCTAATGACGTTAATGATATTTTAAATAACTTTTATGATACGATTTTTTCTATGTTTAATAAGTATATTCCAGTTTATAAAAACTTTAGCCATAAATACCCCCCTTGGTTCGATGCTGATATCATTCACAACATCAAATTAAAAGCAAAGTTTAGAAAAAAGTTTAAACGATTCAAAAACCATTGTGATTTGCTTGAGTTTCAACGGTTAAGACACCTTGTCAAATCAAAAATCAGTTTGGCATACATTGTATATGTCGAGAATATCCAAATTGCTTTATCCTTCAACCCCAAGAAATTTTGGTCTTATGTAAATTCAAAAAATAATAGTTCAAGAATTCCTGGTGTGATGAAATATAATGACATTAGTACCTCCGACCCACAAAATATTGTGAATGTGTTTGCAGAATTTTTCAAGAGTGTTTTTCTGTCATCAGATATTAATTTCAAGGCTAACTCTTCCTCAGTTAACGCAGATTACTTAAATTTTTATCCTATTTTAGAGTCTGAGATAATTTTTGCGAGTAAGAAATTGAAAGACAAAATGACGTGTGGACCTGATAATATTCCATCCTTTTTGGTTAAGGATTGTATAGGTGCCTTAACAGTGCCACTCTTAAAAATTTTTAATTTATGTCTTCTTAACAAGGAATATCCGAGTCTCTGGAAGGAGTCAAAAGTGTGCCCAATATTCAAAACTGGTGAAAAGGGTCAGGTAGAAAACTACAGACCAATTTCCATTATTTGTAATCTATCGAAAGTCTTTGAAATAGTTTTGTATAATCGTATTTATTCACACACTCATAATCAGCTATCTCAATATCAACATGGTTTTGTCTCCAATCGGTCCACTGTGACAAACTTATTAATGGTCACACAATATATCTCAGCAGCCCTAGATAATAGAAGTCAAGTTGACGTCATATATACTGACTTTACGAAGGCATTCGACAGAATTCACCACGGCGTATTACTTTCTAAATTGTGTCTCTTTGGTCTTTCTGAGGATGCCTTGACTTTTATGAGGTCCTACTTGTCAAATAGAACGCAGTTTGTTGCTTATAATGGTTACAAATCGGAAAAGTACCTAGCTTCTTCAGGGGTTCCACAAGGTTCTAATCTAGGTCCATTATTGTTCTTGTTATTTATTAATGATCTGTGTGAATCAATTTCTGCACCATGTTTATGTTATGCCGATGATTTAAAGATTTATTCATTGATAAGCGACCTTAATGATTGTCATTTTCTACAGAATGAACTGAATCGTGTACATGAATGGTGTAATGCAAATCATTTGAATCTTAATGCCAATAAGTGCAAAGTAGTTAGTTATTCTAGGAAACAGTCTAATATATACCATCCTTATATTATCGATGGCAATGAACTTGAACGATTGAATAAAATTAAAGACCTTGGAGTTACATTTGATTATAAACTCACCTTTGTTGAACATGTTAATTTAAAGGTTAAAGAAGCACTTAAATCTTATGGATTCATAATTAGAAATAGTCGAAATCTCACTAATACTAAGGCAATTAAATTACTTTATTACACTTTTGTACGCTGTAAACTGGAATATGCTTCTGTCATTTGGTCACCTTTTTATGATGTACACATCCAAATTATAGAGCATGTGCAGCGTAAATTTTTAAAATTTTTGTCTTTCAAAATTAACGGCATATATCCCAGGAGGGGCATCAGCAATAGCGAGTTGTGTAGCGGTTTGGACGTAGTATCATTAGAATCTAGACGAATTAATGCCTCCCTAATATTCCTGTACAAGCTACTACATAATCTCATTGACTGCCCTGATATTCTTCGACAAATAAATTTTAACGTTCCATCTTATCCAGTGAGAAATTCGATTACGTTCAGAAATACACAAGCTAGAACTAATCTTATGTTAAATTCTCCTCTATTTCTCATGTGCAACTATTATAACTCCTTAAGTGCTTACTGCGATATATTTCACTGCAGTTTAAAGCAACTTACTATGATGGCTGAGATCTACCTAGGTGATTAAGTAGTTTCTTTATGTTAAATACTCGAAAAATGTGTTATTTAGTTAGTACCTATGAATTATTAATATTTCATTTAACTTTAGTATTGTATTTTGTCCTATAAATGGATTCTGTTGGACAATAAACGCTATTATTATTATAACGATAAAAAATCTATTAAGTTTTAATTCACGTATTTTAAATTCCATCCTGTATAAGGTTTTAATCTACGTATTACAAATCTTTGAAAAAACCCTTAAGTTTTTATTTTTAAATTACCTTATGTAATGCGCTTTCTCTTTAAATCTCATACGTGACTATAAGCCCTTATCGTTTCTTTTTAAACTGTATCCGACTGTGTCGGAATAATTTTTCTATAGGTTATATTCTATTAGTTTTAGTGTAAATGAGACACCAACAGTTCCCTTTATCCTTTTCTTTACATATGGAACAAATAAACATATTTAAATATAAGCAAACTGCTTGTTTGTTATCGTTGACACATCCCTTCTCTGGAGAACTTGAGATAAATTCTAATTGATAGCCAGATGCTTTTGGAATATTTGCAAACCACTTTAGCACAATGATGAATCACCTTTTCTTGGAACACGTAACGATAAGTAATATTGTTTCCTATATGTTTATTATTACCCAGCGACTAACAGCCTTAGGAAATAGGATTTCAAAGTTAAATAACACCCCTTAATTGGTTTTAACCTTCACAATTTGTTTAGTTTGCTATTTCAAAAATAGCAAAGTAAATAAATGTAAAGTAAAAAAAAAGAAGGTCTCTGTTGTAGTTTATGTAAGTATAATATAGGTGTTAGAATTGAGCATCTCAAGCTGATTGATCTGAAGAGTTTCTCGACTAAGGTCCGCTTGCCATTATGCTAACTAAAAATATTGTATCTACAAATTAGGTGCGCGCGCCGATTCAGTACTAAAAATTAGAACATGTTCTAATTTCTTGTACTAAAAATGATCCAATATTAACTAAAACTGAGGTTATGTTACGTATGTTTATGTTTTGTTTTTAAATATGTGGAGTCAAAAGCAAATAGAAAATTTAATCGAACTATATAAAGCAAATCCTTGTTTATATGTGCCAAAACATCCATTATACAAAAATAGGAATGGGAGAGTAAAAGCTTTGGAAGAAATAAAGGCGAAATTGTACAAACTCCTGTTTGTTCTGTTTACTCTAATCATAAAAGTATAAAAAAACAAACTTCAGATAGGTTAGACTGTCAATACAAAATTGGTAGAGCGCATGCCTACAGGCTAATTAAAATCAAGATAGTTGCAAACACCAACATACATTTTTCATACTAAATCGACTCGCGCAACTAACTAATATTTTTAGCACTGAAATCAGTACTGAAATTAGCATAATGGCAAGCGGACCTAAGCCTGCGGGCCAGACCTGATAGAATACCTTCAGGGGGGAGGTGGAGGGCATTCAATCAAATCGCCTTTTTTTATATTATGCCACTGTCCTAATCGTCTGGTAACTTACTACTTACGTCCTTACTTACTTACGTCCATATTTCTACTATAAATTTTTGTGATCATTCAATGTCGGCTCTTCCTATCATTGCGAAGCAGAATTCGCCAACCGCTGGATTGTTCACCAATATACAGGGAACGTGCGCTGGGTTTAGACCGTCGTGAGACAGGTTAGTTTTACCCTACTGATGATTCGTCATTGCGATAGTAATCCTGCTCAGTACGAGAGAAACCGCAGGTTCGGACATTTGGTTGACGCACTTACTCGAGCGGGTAACGGTGCGAAGCTACCATCCGCGGGATTATGCCTGAACGCCTCTAAGGCCGTATCTTTTCTAGCCAAAGGTGGCAACGATATCTCTTGGAGTTTCGAGAGTCGAAAGGCTCAAAACAATGTGACTTTACTAGG